TAAACCCTCTTTCACGTTAGTGTATTATATTTTGGTTCATACAATCTCTTGCAGTTGTGATGATAATGGCTGTAATCAGAAATTCAGCACAAAATCCAACTTGAAGAAACACATTGAACGTAAGCATGAAAATCCACAGAAGCAGTATATAGTGAGTATGGCTTTATATGCTTCAACTCTGAACATTTTTACCTTTGCCACCAAAGCGAGTTCACAGAAGGCAGATTTTCTCTTGCTGGGTATGCGAGGCCCAGCATTGGCTGTCCTCGTCATGCAAGTTCTCCCTTTGCAGACTCACCTTGGGCACCCTATGTTACTGCTGGCCACCCCAGCAGAAGCATGCTTGCTTTTCTGAATGTCGTTGCTGTTTAAATTTTGAGATGAAGCATTTCACAGGGACTAAGTGGGTAAAGTTTATACTTCCCCAAGGCACTTAGATCCTGAGAAACTATTGTTTAATTTAAAAAGTTTTCTATTTATTCATTTTATGTGCAAGTGTTTTGCCTGCGTATGTGCCTGTGCGCCACACGCATGTTGGTGCCTGTGGAGGTCAGAGGAGGGTGTCAGTTCCTCTGGAACTGGAGTTAGGGAGCTTGTGAAGCACCAGGTGGGTGCTGGAGTCCGCACTGGATCCTCCGAGAGAGAAGCAGTGTCCTTAACCACGGGGCCATCTGTAGTCTCGAGAGGACTTCAGCAGCTGTTGAGTCTCTCCCTTACTGAACAGTGCATTTATGTCTTCACAGTGCAGTTTTGAAGGTTGCACGAAGGCCTTTAAGAAGCACCAGCAGCTGAAAACACATCAGTGCCAGCACACGGGCGAGCCGCTCTTCAGGTCAGTGCTTTGCCAACACTGCAGTTCAGAGAAGGACAAAGATCGGGGTCCTGAGCGGAGCTGTCGTGTGTGCCCGTGGGGACTTGAACAGTTATATTTGTTTTCATGTCTCTAAAAATCATTTTGCGTGTGTGGAGAACAGCTTGTGAGAATCTTACAGCGCTGGCTAAGCTTGAAGTGAAGGCGAGGAACCGCCTGTTCGGCTTTATGGTATGCCATCCTGAAGACGCTTTCTCTACAGAACGGAAGTAACTGGGCTCTATCTGCACTGAGGGTTTCCTGAGTACTCAGGACACATGGGGTGCGGTGCGGTGGTCAGGTGTGTGTGCCACGGAGCCTGCCTGCCTGTGTGGTGTCGCCCTGCACAGTTGGGCTGATTAGGGCCTTGCTTCTGGCTCCCACCGGCTGCGCTGTGCCCTGTGCTGCTGCAGTGACAGTGCGGTGTCACCCACAGGCCTGTGGCCCTGGCGCTGCCCTGCTGTGCAGTTTTCACTGGTACTGAGGAGCCAGCACTCAGCCCTTCTTTCCTCACTCCCCTGCAGCCCTTGCATCTGCTGTTACCGTCTCCCTTTCCTCCCTGGTTGCTTCCCTTTTCTGTTTCCTTGAGCCAGGCTCTTGCTGCACAGCTCAGGCTAGCCTTGGACTCTCGGTTGTCCTGTCCCTGCTCCTCAGTGCTGGGATCAAAGGCATGGACCACCATGCCCAGCAGCAAACACCATTTGGTTTGGTTTGGTTTGTTTGAGACAAGTTTCTGTGTGTAACAGTTCTGGCTGTCCTGGAACTTGCTTTGTAGACCAGGCTGGCCTTGAACTCACAGAGATCCACCTGTCTTTGCTTCCCTCCGGAGTGCTGGGATTAAAGATATGTGCCACCACCACCCAGCTACACAGTCTCTTGTTGGCGTTTTTCTGGTACTGGTCCCCACTGAGCTGCACCTCCAGGCCCTGCACCATGTTCTTATCTGACAACATTTTGGCCACACAGACAGACAGCTCAGGATGGTCCATTGTCACCTAAACCAAGTCAGCCAGCCTCCTGAAGTAGCTTCTGTGGCCACAATGCAGGATATTTTCAGAACTATGAGAACTTTTAATTTGATGACATAAACAAAAGATGTGTGATTTTTTTTTCTCAAAATAGCTTGTTTTGCTCCAAAGCTGGCCAAGTCACTGGTGTTTGTATTTAGGGCCACAGCTGAGTATTTTGGTGACAGATTTGGTGTGGGAAGCGATGGGCTCTGGTGAGAGGATCTCAGCAAAGTTCTCCACGGTCAGGGACTAGCTAATGCTTCCTGTGCTGCTTTCTCAGGTGCCCCCAGGAGGGATGTGGGAAGCACTTTGCCTCACCCAGCAGGCTGAAGCGGCATGGGAAGGTTCACGAGGGTACGTACAGACCGGCACTATGCTGGCACTGAGAGACACACCAATAGCAGGATGTGCTTGCTGCTCAGGCCGCTTGGTATCCTTGGTCCACTTCATGGTCACACTAAGTACACAGAGCTGTGTGGCAAAGGACACTGCTCTGTTATTTGGGTCTTGGTCCCTTGTCATTGCCATTAAACCAGTGTGGTACTAAGCACCTGGCTATGCTTCGAGATTATTAATAACCCTTTTTGTGTACCACCTATGAGTCTCTTTCTAGTTAGCTCCTCTAAAGTGCGCAAAAGGTTTAGACAGTCGAAGTTGCCAGAGCAGTGAGCATAACACCCCCACTTCATTTCCTCCAGCAGAGCGGCACACGGTTCCTTTCTGATTGTCATCAGGTTGCACTGGGCATTCAGAATAGGCAGTGGATAATTTTTTATTTTTGTTTTGTTGAACAGGCTATCTGTGTCAAAAGGGATGTTCCTTTGTGGCAAAAACATGGACAGAGCTTTTGAAGCACATGAGGGAAGCCCATAAAGGTAGGCGACGGGGAGCTGAGGGCGCACTCTGAAAGACTGAGATGCACACAGATGCTGTAAAGGAGGGGCTCGGCATCGTCTAGTGCTGGCTTCCTGGGCTCCACATCTCCAAGCTGGTGTTGCTGTTCACTTGGGTTTTGTGAGACTCTGCAACTCTGCAGGGCTTCTTGGGAAATGTTCATGCATGTCAGAGGACAGAGGCAGATGCCTGCCCAGTCACCATGCTAGGGACACCTGCTCCTTGCCAAATGAAGAGTCAGGGAAGTTGGGAGTCATGAGAGGACTTAAAGGGTTTGGAGCCAGCGGCAGTGAGATGAGGGGTTTAAGTTTCCTCTGACATCCCCGGTTTGAGTGTAGTCTCAGGACTAGACGTGCAGTAATAGAGAGGTTGGCTAAGTGAGTGTCTCCCCACCAGAGGAAGTCACCTGTGCGGTGTGCCAGAAGACATTCAAGCGCAAAGACTACCTTAAGCAGCACATGAAGACTCATGCTCCAGAGAGAGACGTGTACCACTGTCTGCGAGAAGGCTGTGGGAGAACCTACACTACCTTGTTCAACCTGCAGAGCCACATACTCTCCTTCCATGAGGAAGAGCGGCCATTCGTGTGTGAGCATGCTGGCTGTGGCAAGACGTTTGCAATGAAAGTGAGTGTCCTGCTCCAACCAGGTGGTCTTCATATCCAGCCTGCAGAACCCCAGGTCCCCATTCTGACCCAGCCAGGCCAGAAGCCCCAGGTTTGGAAGCTGATGAACTTATTTTGACAATTGCTCATGGTAGTGGTTCTCAACCTTCCTAATGCTGTGACCCTTTGAAGTTCCTCATATGGTGACCCCCCCAACCATAAAATTATTTCTTTGCTACTTCATAACTGTAACTTTGCTACTGTTATAAATCATGATGTAATATCTGATATGCAGGATATCTGATAGTCAACCCCAAAGGGGTCTTGACCCTCAGGTTAAGAACCACTGCTCTAGGGGATTCTAGCTGTGCTGTGGGAGAGCCAGGGTCCTTTATCTCCACTTACTTAGAGAGCCAGTACTCTGTGAACTTGTAGACCATCACGTAGGGCCTGAGAAAGGAGGTGGGTACCACGGATGGGCAACCTCTGGGCTGTGGGATCTTGGCATGATTCAGAGTCAGGTGAGAACATGGTTCCTAGCAGGGGACTGTGCAGTTTGCTTTGGCCTAGCTGGTCTTACAAGCTCTTACTATGGACTGTAAACTCTCCAAGCATAGCCCAGGTCAATCCATACTGGGACAGGTGTGACCACTGCTGCCAGCCAGCAGGGCAGAAGCCAGATTTCAAGGATGCCATAGAGAGAGTCAGCTAAGCAAGCCTGAGCTGGGAGTTCAATCCCAGCAGGCTTCCCTTCTCAGGCAAGATCTAAGTCAGTAGACGGATGGAATAAATTCCCTGCATGGCCCTTGGGAAAGACTGAACGTCACTCTACTGAGAAGTGGAAGTCCCCTAGGCTCTGGTCAAATTCATTCCACAACAGAAAGGCAGCTGGTAGTTTGTAGATTTTCATGGCATTTTAATGTTAGCAGATACCCAAGAATTTTTAAATTTTTAAAAGCTTAATTATTGGAACCAGCATACATGTGGTTCTGAGCTGCCATGTGGTTTCTGGGAACAGAACCTGGGTCCTCTGCAAGAGTGGCTCATGCTCTAACCACTGAGCCAGCTCTCCAGCCCTGGACCAAGGGTTTCTAAAGTGGCCTTCTTTTTCCTGCACTGCAGCAAAGCCTTATAAGGCACAGCATTGTGCACGATCCTGACAAGAAGAGGATGAAGCTCAAAGTAAGTCGAGCTGCTTGCACCAGCACTTAGCTGTAAGGTCTGCTTGGCATCTATCCCCCGGCCCCTCCACCCTATATATGTCCACCTGTTGAAGGTGTGACTCCACCTGGCCCGCCCCCACCGCTGTGTGTGTATCCACCCGTTGAAGGTATAATTCCATCGAAGTGGATATGGTTGTAACACAAGCAATTCTGATGGGGAATTCAGTTATCTGTTTTCCTTACTCCCATAGGTAAGACCACATCGGGAAAGACGGAGCTTGGCCTCTCACCTCAGTGGGTACCTCCCTCCTAAAAAGAAACCAGAGCCAGAGTCCTCCGAGCCTTCAGGCAGCAGCCTGCAAGGCCAGATGCTCCCACCAGCTGCATCACTTACCCTCCAGTGAACAGCACTGGCCACATGAGGGACTCTAGAGCAGCCAGCAGGAGCTTCTGCATGAGCCTGGACTTTTTTATTAAAGTCAGTGACACAGAACTTCTGACTCCGTGTTTTTGTTATCCTTGCTCAGAGTGTGTCTTCTCTCCGCCTCCTGAGAGTCTCTGTATGCCTTCTCTTCTTTCTTGCTTAAGGGACGAAAAGCACATGTGGAGGCCGTTCCTCCTTTAGTGGCTTTCGGTCTGCTTGAGAAGGTTGCTATTCCAGGCATAGTCTGGAGAATCTGGTTAAATATCTCATCCTAAAAAGGACAACAGTGCAAGATTAGTTTAAACTTGGTGTCTCTGACGCTGAGGTGAAACTGAGCATTGCACGTTGGAGCTACTGTGACAGGCTGCTCAGTTCCCATGTCTGCTGTGCACTGACATCTGCATAGGAACTCCATGTGTGTGCTAACACTGACGGACTGCAGCCTCCACTCTGTCATAGCTAGCCCACCCATGCTTTCCCAAAATTAGGCACTGGCTTTGGGTCTTGGCAAAGTACCATCCTTATTCTGAAGGGAGGGAAGAAGGTCCCACCTGGACTCAGTTGGAAGCAGTTGAGCTGTGCCCTGCGAGTGTGACGCGAGCAGCCTAGGCTGCAAACCCACTGTAGCAGCGCACCTTTGGTGTGGATAAAGAGAGCTAGGATTAAGGCCAAACAGCACAGCACAGAAACTCCAGCAAGTCTAAGGAATAAAGTTCTCGAGAGAACAGGTAAATAGAAGAGAATCCTATGAATTATCTACTTTTTGTATTTTTTAAAAGACAATATAGATTTTATATTACAATTCTTAAAAAACTGTATGGGTGTTCTGCCTGCATGGACATCATGTGTGTGGAGCCCACAGAGACCAGAAGATGGCGTCATTCCCTAGAACTGGAGTTAGAAATTTGTCAACTGCCATGTGGATGCTGGGGATTGATCCTGGGTCTTAGGGTTTACATGAAGCAAATACGTTATAACAGAAAACATACAGTAGGTGTACAGTCTGACACTAGGAAGCTGGTACCATACAGGGTGGTAGTTACTAGTCAGTTTCTTTGCCTGTAGTCTTCCAGTTTTTCGACAGTTGTATTTTTGCACAGGAGAACAAAGACCCAGCAGGTGCTCACACTTACTCACCGGCTCATTCCCTGGCTGGTCTGCATTTTTCCCCTTCTTTATTGTGACTTGAACGTGGTATTTTTTCTCAATCCACTGCTGAACCTGTTTACTCTTTGTGTCCAAATCATGCTGTCCAATATTTGAAGAAAATGTGAGTTCCTTTGTCACAGTAGGTCCTGGGTGGAAACAGTGAAGTTTATTGCTGGGTTGTTTCTGCTCTCCTTTGAAACAGCTTCCGTACACACTGGTAAAAGTTGAGGCCCACAGGCTCTGAGCCCCATCTCATTTCAGCCTCGTGGACCATCAGCTGCTTTTTTAAATGGGGGAGACAGGCATAAAGGTTTGTTGTTTTTAATGTGCTAAATTAATAGTTAAAATCTGCTAAGGCTTTTGTGTATGTGTGCACTTTGCTTGTGAATGCAGGTGTGCATGAGTGTGCATGCACTTGTGCTTGTGAGTGCAGATGTGTGTGCGTGCGGTCCTCACCTCCCTTGAGAAAGTCTTGTTTGCACACTGTACACCAGGGTCACTAGCCTGTGGGCTCCCATCTCCCCAAAGGGGCAGGCTTGGAGTGCGGCTGAGACTGGATTTTACTTGGTTGTGGGGATTCAAACCACTCTTGCGCACAAGCGCTCTCACCCACTGACCCCACCCCCAGAACGTGTGTCAGACTGAGCTATGAATCTGCAGGAAGACCACCCAAGAGATAGAGTTGGGGCATAGTGGACAACTCGGAGACTCGCTCAGACAGCAGTGGCTCCTCACTGTCACTGTGCTGAGAATCACTGTGACAGTACTGGAACACAGAGGCGCTGCAGCCTGGCCCATTTAGGCTCACAGACCCCAGACTGCACACAAGCATTCAGAAGAATAAAGAACTGGGAAGAGGCCGGATGCTGTGGAGATGGAATAACAAAGCAGATCCAGTAACTTACCCACAGCTGTCCTGCGAACATGGGATGTGCCATTTTAAAAATCCACACACTGTTTCTCAACATCTGTCATATTAACACTGGCTCAAGTCCATGACAACATCTCTTGGGAGAGTGGAGGAGATGCCAACTTTTCCACAATGTTTTAAAACCTGAACCACAGCCAGATTCACTGATAAACAACTGTTTATTACCTTTCCTTTGTTTTTTGTTTGTTTTTCAAGACAGGATTTCTGTGTTTAACAGCCCTCGCCATCCTGTACCTCAATTTGTAGACCAGACTGGCCTCAAACTCAGAGATCTGCTTGGTTCTGCCTCTCGAGTGCTGGGATTAAAGATGTGCGCCACCACGACCACCTTTAGTGCCTTTTCTTATAGGTCTTTAAAAATTTCTAGCACCCCTTGTTTTCCACCAGTTGGCTCTGGGTCTCTGTGAGAAAGGAGTGAAGCAGCCAGGCTCTCCAGGCTCCCAGTCTGCTCCATATTTTCTGGCTATGACATGGTTTGATATCCTGAATCCCTGATCTTGTTAGTTTCCTATGAACGTCTGTTTTCTGGCTAGCATTCCTGGGGTGTAATAAAACAGGTTATCTTTCCTCATAGCGCTCAGCCTCCCACAGTGGGGCCAGTCCCCAAGTCCTTGTCACAGCATGAAGCCCATGGAACGGAGTCTTCCATACCTGGGAGCCATAAAAGCCAACTCCTCGTTGAGTGCCCAGTTCCAGGTGGCTTCAGTGACAGGTGACTGGCCATGTGCACAGGCCAGGGGTACTGTGAACAGTTCCAGCACTTATAAGGTGCTTGAAAAGCAAAATGACAGAAAGGAGGTTGGATCTGGAAAACCTCTCTCGAGTGTCACTTCACTGCGCCATCAGCCCCGTCAGCCCCAGGGCTGGCCACTGCATCTGGAGCCCAGGCTGCAAGATGACAGCAACTTCCATCACTCTGGCGGGCTTACAGTGTCTCCCCCCCACACTTGACAGTTTAAAAAAAAAAGAAGTGATGGACATGGGACATCAAAAATGAGGGGACTGGAAGTAGGGATGTGTACCTCCCTGCAATGATGGTAAAACCGGGCACACCAGAGTTCCCGGTTCCTCACATCCCACTGACACCCCGGCAAACATGAGAGTGAGTGCTGCTGTAATGTCCTGAAGCTGTGGCTCTCAACTTTCCTAGTGTTGTCACCTTTAATATGGTCCCTCACGGTGATCTGATTGCTGTTCCGTATACCCCTGTGCAAAGGGGGATCTCGACCCACAAGCTGAGAAACACTGTTCTGGTGTATCTGAGGCACCAACATTAAAGCACCTACCAGCTTTTGGGGTGGTCTTTTCCTGTTCCCGGAGCTTGAGCCGCTCCTGGTGGATCTGTGCTCCGGTCATGAGCTGGTACTCTGGCGGCTCTGATCTGGTGTTCCTCTGCACCAGCCTCAAGTCCCGCTTGTCCATGAGGCTGATCACCTGGGCTCGATGCATCAGTCCCAGGTCACTGCCTTTCTCATCCAGGACGCGGATAATCCGCTCACTGATTTTCCTTCCAGTGTTAGTAAAAGCATCTTTCCTCTTCTGTCTCTTCCCACTGTGGGCATCTCCAGCAGTACCGAAACCTTTGGCAAAGGTGAGGTGCACAAGCTTCGTGGTGGAGGCAGCAAGGGACAGCTGTGCCGGGTCTGGCTTCACAATGGGTGTTCTGAAACATCTTCCAATTGAGGTTTGCAGCGTCAGCCTCTTCAGAAGAACAGCCATCCTGATAAAGTAATGGGGAAGGTGTATTACCATGCAATCGATGGCCATGGTCTGCTAGTATAGCACAGTGTGGTGCAGGCGAGGCTGCGGCACCTTACGGCACACAGATCACATCACCAGATCCACGCGTAGGAAGGCAACACCAAGGCATGGCCCCTTGGCGGCCACCATCCCTAGTGCAGCTGGGGACCAGACTAAGCACCACAGCACGGCTCTTCGCTCTCCACCTTTGCTTTCACATTCGTGACATCTATGGTTTCCTAGATCCTACAGTACCAGCTCAAAAGTCAAGTTTACCTAAGGGTTTGTTTACAAGGATGAAGTAGAAATGTCATTTCAGGGGCTCCAGAGATGGCTCAGAGGTTAAGAGTCTCATCCTTTGGTAGAGCACCTGGGCGGGATTCCCAGCACTCATATGGTGTCCAAATGTTCAACTGTAACTCTAGTTCTGGGGATCTGACACCCTCTTCCCGCCTCTGAGGAGACTGCACACATGTGGTACACAGATACATATGCAGACAAGCACTTGTAAAATACAAGAAATACACACACACACACACACACACACACACACACACACATATATAGGCACTTTGATTTTTTAAAATGCTTCTTTACCACAGTCAAACAATGAAAAGTGCTGTTCTCACTTCTCATGGTGCTTCTTGTGCACGCCTTCTCTTTAGAGGCAGAGGCAGTGGATCTCTGTGAGTGCTAGGCCAGCCTAGTCTACACAGTGAGACCCTGTCTGAGGAAAAAAAAATCACAAATTCATAACAATGTATTATTTAGAATTCTTTGCTGGGGACATGGGAATTTGGCTCAGTGGTAGAGCATTTGCCAAAAACGTGCAAGGCCCTGGTTTAATCCTCAGCCCCCAAACACAGCAGCAACAATCTTGGAAAATCTTTGTGTAGAAACAATGTACTGAGCGGCCTATGCAGAAACTGGTGCCATCCTCCACCCACCCACGAGTGGCTAGGATAGGTTACAAAGTAGCCAGCAGACACTGCCTGCCCCCCTTTGGTCTTTTTAACATAACAGTCCAGCCCTGACAGCCCTTTCTAGACAAGATTCTTGGGTTCTAGATTTCCCTGAACACCTTATAATTTTGTTTGGCGGTGATATTTCACTTACAGTTTGGCAGCATGAAGGGGCTCTCCCTAGCCAGTTGCATGATTTAAACGTTAAGGAAAACGGCTGTAATTCCCTTCAACATGCTGAAAATGCAAGCATCTCTTAGGCTGAAGTTCCCAGCAACCCAAATCCCCACCTGAAGTGGTCAGCTTTTGACCATACTTGGGCACAAACCCAGCTTACGGCAGACACGTCATCACCCCTCACCTAGAGGCTCTATGCGCGCCCAGCTGTAGTCCTGGCGCGTGACTTCTCCCGCCTCAATCTCTGGGGCTGGAGAGCTCCCTGGGCAGTTGCTTTGTGCAAATAAACCTGCTTTTAGTTTTTAAATTGGGCTTGACCTGACTAACTGTGCCGATACAGAACACCTGTGAGTTTGTACCTTCTTCTGAGAAGCGGTCCTCAGGACATGGCACTGCACCCCCGCAGAAGACAATTTATTATTAATGGACACCTGAGCTGCTTGGACTCAGGTTCTTATGGATAAGGGACTGATTACCTTGTGACGCCCGGACTGTGATCTTCACAAGATAGTGATGATGGGGCTGCAAAGACGTCTCTAGAACAAAACTTAGGAACGCTTAATATCCAGCTTCTTAAACTGGGGGCTGTGTAGCTGGGTGTGGCAGCTGATTCAATATCATGTCAGAATGAGCGAGAATCAAAAATTAACTCACAAACACCTGTACAATGAGCCCAGGGTGCTTCCGCCAGCATGCACTCATGCTGCAACTAGCAACTCCACAGTAGCCTTTGTCCTCAACACAGCCTGATCTATGGCCACACCACAGTGAGCTTGCCTGACAGCATCAAAACCCACAACATGCTTCGCACCTACTTTGCGTCAAAGCACAGAGCACCAGCAAATGCCCACTGCCTCAAACACCTCAGTTCAGATTCAAGGCTACGGCAAACTACGAACTGCAAAGTGCTTACGGTTCACAACTTTTAATAAGCCCCTGCTGACATGCTTTAGTATGAATCAAATTAGTCTATCTCTGAGCTGTAACGTATTACAATGTCTTGTTTTAAAAATTGCTATTTGAGTTGCTAACTTAGTTTTCTGAAATAATAATAATAAAATGAATTATGGCTTGGGATTGGACAGGTTTTCCAACAATTTGTGAAGGGATCCTAAACATACTAATGGTATTTGTCACTTCATACTCACAAGCCCTGACATCCTGACACCTATTCACTCCAGAAGGAATGGGCTCGAGTAGATTCAATATACTGTGGACTCAACTTTGGCCTCCACTATAACTATGGATTCTCTCACCCCCACTTTCAGGAGTTTCAAAAGTCCGGGCACGGCGACGCGCGCCTTTAGTCGCAGCACTTTGGAAACTAAGGCAGGTGGGTCTCTTCAGAGTAAGCTCCAGGACAGCCAGAGCTACATAGTGAGACCCTGTTTCAATAAAATACAAAAATAAGGAAAATAAAAAATCCTCACAAGGTGTTCTAAGGGTCGGCAGCGGGCACGCCCACCCGAAGGACACGGCCACCAGGAAGCCAGACACACACTCCCCCCCCCCCACATGCCCCACCCCCAGGTCGTGCGCGTGCGCACCTGCTCGGCGAAAATGGCTGGGATTGCTTGTTCAGTGGCTCGGGAGCGCGGCAGCTGGGTTGGGTCCTGAAGCCTGGGGGCGCCGTACCCCGTCCGCCTAGGGTGTTCTGCACACTGTCCCCGGGACACGTCCTTCCGCCTCAGCCCCGCACCGCCGAGCCCTCACCTTAGCGCTACCCGGGGACGGCGAGCGGGAGGAATCGGCAGATCGGTACACGGGCTCCGCGGAAGGACCGCGCCTGCTTCCGTTGCAGGCGGGACTTCCTGAGTCCTTTAAAGGGAAGGTGCCACCAGCAGTCGCGGTTTCCGCTTTTAAGATTAAAGTCCCGGGGAGCGGGGGACGACGGAAGTGCAGAAGTTCTGAGGAAGAAGTTGAGGATATTGCTCTTTACCTTCTGCTGCACCGGAGGCGAAGAGAATGTTAAAACGTGAAGTCCCAAGCGGGCCGGTGGTGGCCGTTCCTTTAATCCCAGTACTCAGGAGGCAGAGGCAGGCGGAGCTCTGTGAGTTCGAGGCCAGCCTGGTCTAAAGCGCGAGATCCAGGACAGGCTCCAAAGCTACAGAGAAGTCCTGTCTTGAAAGACCAAAACCAAGCAACATACAAACAAACAAAACCCAAAGTGAAGTCCCAGGAGCAAAGTCACTGCATCACTTGGGTCAACTACATTAATAGCAGTATTAACGAACTATCAAATGCCTCATAAATGTGTTCCATAAATGTCTGGACTCCACTCTTTGGTATGAATACTGCCATAAGAGCAATCAGGCTAGTGAGAACTCTGGGTAGCCAGGAGTAAGCCTCCCTGCCAAGACAAGTGATGGATTCAGGTTCCAGGGCTGTCAGAACTGGGTGAAATCGCAGCTCATCCACAGAGCTGGGGAAGAGGGCAGATGGGAACTTCACAGTCTGTGTTACATCTGCTGGCTCTTGGGGTCCGCACCCCTGCAACCAGACCGTTAACTGTCTGTCCTACTTCAGCGTTAGTCCCTGCTTCCTATATGGTGGTACTTACATTCCTTTTGTAAGGGGAAACCATTGTATTTATAGGCTGCGTGTTAAATATGACAAGACTTGTCTTATTTAATTCTCACCAAATAACTCAACCAGGGTAATACTTGATTAGAGCTATTACGCTTGCATCAGAGGAAACAAAGGCAGCCTTGAACAGCTTCTTGAGAGCCACGTCTAAGTCTCCTTTTCCCATCAAATCACAACCTCTGGCACATGAACCTTGGATCTGTGATATGGCAAAGCCTGAAGCAATTCTGTACGACCCAAAGACCAGTCTGGGGCCTGCATGCCGGTCATTTCCAAGTGAAATGAAGAATTAGAGACGCGTTTTCTTCTGCTGGGATTAGTCCTTGATGGGAAGACGGAAGCATAGCTGTGCGGATACCTCTGGGTAGACAGGTCCACTATGGCCACATGCGCCTGTATTTACGACAACATTTGCCACACTTCTAAGCACTTGATGTGTATCAAGTTAGTTTAATCCTCCAGACACCCTCGTGAGCTACTGCTGTCATTACCCATTTCCTAGATGAGGGGGCAGAGACATGAAGACACTATATGACTTGTCCCGACATCACACAATTAGCAATGTAATGACTGTAACAAGAAGGCTGGATATCTCAGTGGTTAAGAGGGTATTTCTCTTGCAGAGGCCCTGGGTTCTGTTCCCAGCACCCACAGCTGCCTGTAACTACAGTTCCAAGGACCCCAAAGCCCTGTTATTACCTTGGAGGCACCTCCATGCACGCGGGTACATGCAGACGTGCAGGAACACACACACACACACAAACAGATCAAAATAACTTTAAAAGATTTTAAAAGGAGAAAAAAAGAAAGAGTGAAGGGGACTGGGGAAAGAGTTCAGTGACGGATCATCCTTGTTTGATTGGTTGATTGATTTAGGGTTTAGAACCTAGTACTCCTTTGGCAAGTGCTCTAACTCTGAGTTAAATCCCTAGCCCCAGAGCAAGAGTACTTGCCCAGCATGTGCAAGCCCCGGTTTCTATCCTGAGTACTTAAAAATAAAAGAAATGAAAAGAGGGGAAAAAGAAAAAGAAAAGCTGACCCAAGCAGCCTGGTGCCGTATTCCTCAATAGTACTTGTGCTGGAGAAGAGACACTGCTCTGTGGAAACGCTAAGTCCAATGGACACAAGGAAACAGAAGCATTTAATATGCAAACAAAGGGCTTACAGTTTGACAAGATGATGGTTTAAGAAATTTAACCAGACAGACATCCCTGGTAACTACTTTACCTGCTCAGCATCTTGCTGTAGGCTTCTTTGAAGGCCATGGGACCTAGCGAATGGCTGGAGCAGCTGCCACCATTAGCTGTCCTAACACCTACATGATGGTGGGTTTTTTTTTAAAAAAATGTTGTTTGTTTTATTCTGTTTGAGACAGGCTCTCTCTATGCAGTCCTGGCTGTACTGGATTTCTCAAAGTAGACCAGGAAGGACCTGAACTCACAGAGGTCCTCTGTCTCATACAACATGTACAACAAGCAGTGTGCCCTGCTTGGCCTCTTGAGTGCTGGGCGAGAAGGTGAGTGCTACAGCGCTGGACCTAGGATAGCGGTTTTGCTTTTGCATTCCTGAGAGAAGTCAGACAAGAAGGAGGAATGCTACTATAGACATGGCCTTGGGACTTGCACACCCACTTTCCCCTTCAGCTCCTGAATCCTGTTATAGCCTCCAGGAAATGGGATGTAGTCTATTTTTTAAAAAACCTGATTTTAAAAAAATGTTTTTAATGTGCATTGGTGTTTTGCCTGCATAGATGTCTGTGTGAGGGAGTCAGATCCCCTGGAACTGGAGTTACAGACAGGTGTGAGCTACCATGTGGGTGCTGGGAACTGAACCTGGATCCTCTGGAAGAGCAGCCAGTGCTCTTAACCACTGAGCCATCTATCCAGGATGTGGCCTATTTTAAGGAGACATTGGGAGCAATAGGTTCAGCTTGGTGGTGGCAGGATTTGGAGACTCTTGAATGAAGACAACACATACAACAAGCACCCTGCCCCGAGACTGTCTTTCTCTCACCTATTTCCCAAGGCGCAGTTTCTGATTTGTCTGTCAAAAAGAACTTCAGATTCTTTGGACAAATATTGGAATATTGGGGGTTTCTGTCTGTATTAAGCCTTTCTGGTACCATTGCTGCCTCGGTTACATTTCTCACCTGTAACAAAGCTGTCTTATAGCTCCAGAAAAAGTCCTGTCAGGATGAATGTTTAACTAAGAGATGGCAGGTCTATAAGTCCTCAGTATTTTTTTTTCCAAATTTCACTTTTATTTAAAAGATCTCGCCGGTCAGTGGTGGCACATGCCTGTAATCCCAGAACTCAGGAGGCAGAAGCAGGTGGATCTTTGTGAATTTAAGGCCAACCTGGTCTATAGAGTTAGTTTTAGGACAGCCAGGACTACACAGAGAAACCCTGTCTCAAAAAACTAAAAACAAAACAAAACAATAACAACAACAAAAAACCCAAAACAAAAACAAACAAACAAAAAAAAAAAAAAACCAAAAAACCAAAAAAGGTCTCCATGGAAACTCTTTCAAAAATTCTGTCTCAAATTAATTTCAGAACAAGTGGTCCTTACACACCAAAGAGCGTGACACTGATGTCCACAGCAAGCCTGTCAATGAGTCCAACCTTTCAGGGGAGAGGCTAGGCCACCCACAGCAGCCAGGGCACCAGAGAGGGCACCTTGGGACAAGCTGGTGAAGAAAGTCTGCACAGGAACCAGCAGACACTCCCTCTTGCTTGGTGACTAGGGACAATCACCGTTTTAAAAGCAAACCGCATACTAGTGCAATTCTTGGGTTTCTTTTGAACTTGTAGAGATGCTGTCAAGTCTGCATGGGTTCAGGGCAGTGACTCTGTCAGTACAGCGTGGGTCTAATGGCTGAGAAGACACGCATTCACCTTCTGCCTGCTGCTATGGTGAAAGGGATGCAGGAAACAAGATGTGCTGGAGCGGGATTAGGCTTTGACCAAACGTTAGGAAAAGCATTCAAAATTTCCCGAAGATGACCGGCTCCATCCAATGAGATGACTATCACAAATCCACGAGTCTGTTACCATAAACTATCATGATAAGTCTTCATGTTGACCGTTTACTCTCAGGTGGGACCATGGGTCACTCACTCCAAACGCCAATGTGCTGAATAAACAAGACAAAACAAAATCAAAACACCAGTAGGTTTAGCTGTGCTTTCAACGTGTGTGAGACTTGAGAATCGTCCTCTGTGTGACACATTTGTTCCGTGATACTTAGACAGGTCCCCCCAGGAGACCTGGAGAGCATCTGGTGGTAGCCACACCTGTCTTTCAGCCCTTCATGTACCCTAAGACTATAAATCAATCCAGAATACAACTCTTCATCATGTATAAAGTCCCTCACAGCATCACACTCCAGATCAAGTATTTCTTTTGTCAAAAACCGATGACACCAATTATTAAACCATGACCATATCTGTAAATGAGCACAATAAGTATGTCAGAGTCTACACAGTGAGATGAATTTTTCAAAAGCTATCATGTGCATTAAATGCAATATTTACATAAGGAGATGCATTTCTCTTCCATGCATAGTCTTTTTGCACAACCAAATGAAAGAGAAAATGGGTTTGAAATGTCTCATTTGGAAAAGCAAGGTGGTGGGTTTTGGAGTGACTTAGCTAACTTTCAACACGTGCACACATATGCACAAATGTGTAGGACCACTGGATCAGAGGTCAATGGTGGCTATTGTTCCACAGGTGCTATCCTTTTGACAAAATTTGACAGTCTCTCATTGGCCTGGACCTCTCCCACTAGGCTAGGCTGGCTGGGCAGGAGGCCCCAGGATCTTCCTGTCACTGCCTCCTTGGCACTGGGATTACAAGTGTGCACCACCACACCCAACTCTTTAT